TATTATAACAAGTGTAGACGTCTAAATAACATACTCCATAAAAATAATGAAAATTTATCGAGCTAAATTTGAAATATAATTTTTTTAGAATCTGTAAAAATCGGTAGCTCAATAAGGTGCAGGCCTAACTTCTACCACATATAGAAACCATCATAAGCAATGAATGGGCTTGCCATTTAATTATGACACGTGTATACGTGTAAATAACATACTCCATAAAAATAATCAAAATTTATCGAGCCAAATTTGAAATATATATTTTTTTTATCTGTAACATCAGTGGTCTAATAAATGGCAGGTTCAACTTCTACCTCATACAGAAACCATCATAAGCATTGAATGGGCTTGCCATTTAATTATGACACGTGTATACGTGTAAATAACATACTCCATAAAAGTAATCAAAATTTATCGAGCCAAATTTGAAATATAATTTTTTTTTTAAATCTGTAACATCAGTAGTCTAATAAATGGCAGGTTCAACTTCTACCTCATACAGAAACCATCATAAAGCATTGAATGGGCTTGCCATTTAATTATGACACGTGTATACGTGTAAATAACATACTCCTTAAAAATAATCAAAATTTATCGAGCCAAATTTGAAATATATTTCTTTTTATCTGAAAAATAGGTAGCTCAGTAAGGAGCAGGCCTAACTTCTACCACATATAGCAACCATCATAAGCATCGAATGGGCTTGCCATTTTTTTATAACATGTGTAAACGTGTGAAGAACATACTCCATAAAAATAATGAAAATTTATCGAGCTAAATTTGAAATATAATTTTTTTAGAATCTGTAAAAATCTGTAGCTCCATAAGGAGCAGGCCTAACTTCTACCACACATAGCAACCATCATAAGCATTGAATGGGCTTGCCATTTTATTATAACATGTGTAGACGTCTAAATAACATACTCCATAAAAATAATCAAAATTTATCGAGCTAAATTTGAAATATAATTTTTTAAGAATCTGTAAAAATCGGTAGCTCAATAAGCAGCAGGCCTAACTTCTACCACATATAGCAACCATCATAAGCATTGAATGGGCTTGTCATTTAATTATGACACGTGTATACGTGTAAATAACATACTCCATAAAAATAATCAAAATATATTGAGCCAAATTTTAAATATTTTTTTTTATCTGAAAAAGTCGGTAGCACAGTAAGGTGCAGGCCTAACTTCTACCACATATAGAAACCTTCATAAGCATTGAATGGGCTTGCCATTTAATTATGACACGTGTATACGTGTAAATAACATACTCCATAAAAATAATCAAAATTTATCGAGCCAAATTTGAAATATATTTTTTTTATCCGTAACATCAGTGGTCTAATAAATGGCAGGTTCAACTTCTACCTCATAAAGAAACCATCATAAGCATTGAATGGGCTTGCCATTTAATTATGACACGTGTATACGTGTAAATAACATACTCCATAAAAATAATCAAAATTTATCGAGCCAAATTTGAAATATAATTTTTTTAAATCTGTAACATCAGTAGTCTAATAAATGGCAGGTTCAACTTCTACCTCATACAGAAACCATCATAAGCATTGAATGGGCTTACCATTTAATTATGACACGTGTATACGTGTAAATAACATACTCCTTAAAAATAATCAAAATTTATCGAGCCAAATTTGAAATATATTTTTTTTTATCTGAAAAATAGGTAGCTCAGTATGGAGCAGGCCTATCTTCTACCACCTATAGAAACCATCATAAGCATCGAATGGGCTTGCCATTTTATTATAACATGTGTAGACGTGTAAATAACATTCTCCATTAAAATAATGAAAATTTATCGAGCGAATTTTAAAATATAATTGTTTTTTTTTAATCTGTTAAATCGGTAGTTGGGTAAGGAGCAGGTCTAACTGTTACCACATATAGAAACCATCATAAGCATCGTATGGGCATGCTATTTTATTATCACATGTATTGACTTATAATGTAACATAATCCATAAAAGTAATCTACATAAATCTAGTCAGATGTATGTTTGTAGTGTGAAATGCACTTTGAGGTTAGTGGAAGTAGGCCTACATATCAATGGAATAAAAACAAGTGTTATTAGTGGTCATTGCACTTTATTTCGGCACCGCATTAACATAAAAATGGTATACTAGTAAAACAAACACTTAATAACTGCTCAAAAGGTGTAATTTAAACATAAAATGTATTTGAGGTTAGGAAGTTTTGACATGTGACACATGTGTTTGAGGTTAGAAAGTTTTGATACATGCATTTGAGGTTAGGAAGTTTTGATGCCACGGCCTTCTTGATCTACTGATCTGACGTGACGTCATAGCTTAATGTTGGTTTATTGGCAGTTTCACAGACATTTCCAATAGGACCTTCAAGGTTTTGGCTAGCCTACTTGTAAGTTAGTTGGGCTCATGTAGAACTAGTCCTAGGCCTTAGTTATTTGTTTTTGGCTATGCTTCTAACTTAAAAGCTTAGGCCTAGGCCTGGTTTCCTCAGTTTACAAGTTGCCACAAATTCTATTCATTTGGTCATTAAGTTAGCCTATAAAAAAAATTGGGGAATTATTGCCAGGGGTTTACTAAAATGTAGGGCCCAACTTAGGCTAAGTTACTGTTTGAACATAGGCTAGCTGAATATAAGTTACAACAGTTACAAATAAATAATCCCGCTCACTGGGTATATAAATCCCGTTAATTCCCGCTTCTGAACCCTGAAAAATCCCATTGTAACTTATCCCGCAACAAGTTAGGCCTATTTTTGCTCAATTCTGAGTGTTTCATATTAACCAATACGTAATATCGTGTTTAAATAGTTGTTTTAACATTGCTACCGTCAAATTGGGACTCTGAACGAAAAGTAAAAAAATGTTTTGACTCTGTGTAAGTTAACACACATTAAATACCTACTGTATGTCATATCCTGCATCTAAGGCCCTAGGCCTACACATTTTCAAATTCCTTGGTTTATTTACTTTAAGAATAAGTTATTAGGTTATCATAAAGTTTCCTACTTAGTGCAATAAGTTATTGTTTTAAAAAAATTAAAAAAATAACTTTTCAACTGACACTACGTTTTTTTTCCTAAAAAACAATCCCACCCAAACTCTTTCGTGTACACTAAAAATTACTTAAGTTACTACAAATTGGCCTTTCTAGGTATTTTTTTAACTTATGATACCTTAGTTAATTGGGTTGATAAGTTATTCATGTCTCTTAAAAAAATTAAAAACACAAAAAAAATGTTTGGTACAGAAAAAGGTTTCGATCCGCCACCATCTGGTAGTGGACAGTGGTGAAATATGCATCCAAAAAGAGATCTAAGTTATCACTATTTCCATTAAGATAGTTCATGAGAAGGGAGCTGAGGTCAAATTCCTAAGTAAGTTATCGAGACTAAACATGCACAAATTGCGGGCCCAGTCACTTCCCTAGCCTCGTTCTTGATGCAAGCTACGAAATTATGATAGAAAAGATTAACGTAGTCATGGCCGTCATTCCTCCCTCTCTGGGACGTTCCATAATATGAGCCTTTTAGTAATATGTAAAGAAGGCCCAATAATTATTGTATAATAGAGTAAAATGTGTTAAGTTAATCCAAAATATTAATTTTCTTACTGTCTTAAGAATAATATTTATTGGAAACCTTCTAAGATGTTGTTTGGTTTTAAAAAATTGGCTTTAGGCTATTTCTTAATTTGAACAGCCTTGGCTACGACCATTTTACATGATGTCCGACTATCTGAAAAATCAATTATATCCGAACACCTTCTACCCCAATTGTTTTGGATAATCGACGCTAACATTTAACTGATCTCAGGGGCAATGCTTCTCAGGTACCTTTACTATTGCTCTTTTTATTTAGGTATACTCTTTCATCAATAATGTATATTTTAGACATATAGGCCTAAACAAAGTACCTATTTACATAGCATCTTTTTTACAGGTGAACATTCATTATGAACTTCAGTTTTGGTAGCACTACCCCCAAAAACATCTACAACATCAAGTACTACACTAGGTAGGTTTAAACTTAGGCCCTATTCCTCTACTAAAATGTCATAATATTGTTTTATAGGCTACATCACTTAGCTTACATATTTCAGGACGAGGTTTAAAGTTGCTATTGAGTAAAGGCCTATGTGGTGGCGGGTAATGATAAGGACGAATAATACATTATGAAAGTAAACGTTGCCTCTTAGCAACTAATATACTGATGATTTTAACAAATGGCTTTGTATAATTGACGTACCTACTTTGTAGCCTATTTATGACAAAGTTTGTTTTTAAATATGCTATATTATTCACAGGAAACAACCCCATTGATGGTATACCAATCTGACATTTAAACGTAACCTGCAATAAAAAGAGTGTCAGGTTTATCAGTTCATGAAACATCACAATAATTGGCATTACATTCAAAGTTATCTCAAAATGTATGTAACTCACCAAAATGTGTTTTAGCCTCTTTTAAAAAAACTATTCAGTACCGGTAAGCTAATTAAGGTAATACTTATATAATTTATAAAAAATTAGATTCAAAGTGACTTTTTACTTACCGGTAGCCTATTTTACAAACATGATTTTAAAATTAATTATTTGCAGGAACGTCAACTCTCGGAATGTCGGGTGGTGGACTTTTCGGCTCCTCAGCCACCACTGGTTTGCAGTTCGGTGGAGCAGGAGACAATAAACTCGGCACAGCTAGTAAGTCTACCTTAAGTACAACATTATTTTTTTTCCTTTTTTGTCTATAATGTTAGTGGAGTTTTGAGTAAAATAATCATGAACGCTTCGTACACAAATTTCTCCCTATGAAAAGAATGATTTCCTACAAAATGTTGTAGTCCGACATGTTGATAGTGAATAAAATTACTAACAGTTATTTCATACATTTACAGCTCCTACAGCCGCAATAAAACCGACCGCATCCGCCACTCCCCTCAGTTTCACTCCAACGACAACCGCCACTACTGGCTTCTCAGGGTTTTCCGTTACTCCGCAGACCACCACCTCTGCTACTGGGTTCACAGGATTCTCGACTACTCCGCAAACAACTACTGCGGGATTCACAGGGTTTTCAGCCAGTCCGCAGACAACTAGTGCTGGATTCACCGGGTTTGCAGTTACTCCGCAGTCAACAGCCTCAGCCCCTCCCCAGTCACAAGCTACTCCAGCTCCTTCTTTCAGTTTTGGAGGGGCCACATCGACCTCTACAGCTACTCTGGCACCTCTTAGGTAGACCTACATGTTTTTGTTGTAGGTTAATAGAGTTTTTTTAACAGTCCATTTATGTTTAAAAGTCTGGTGCATGGCTGTTTCATGTATTCAATGTTCGTTTAGCCTTCCAAGATATATCCAACCCATTCTGTGTATAATTTAAGTGGACTGTAAAATTGTGTTTTATGAATGTGAACACCATTTAAGGTTCTCAATTGTTCTGCAGGATACAGGTTTAGGTACTTTATTATTATTTTAGACCTATGAAAGTCACACAGTTTTGACCATTCCTCGCCTCATAAATACATGTACACTTGCAATTTTAAATATATGAACTTTAAAATCTTAAGAGGATTTAAAATTTTTGGGCTAGGCAATTAATTTTGTATTCTTGACGGTCAGGTTGGATTGTTATGATTATTGTGCGCAGTAATTTTATTAATACAAGGCCTTCTGAACTTATTTGTGAAGAATATAAAGTTTTAGGATTAATCTCATTAACATTTGACAAGAGTACTGTGAACACCTACCGCAATTTTTAAGTTTACTGTTCAAAATTCACACTCCTCTTTCATCACTTCATTATATGAGCAGAACCTTCCTGAACTAACCTAAAAATGTTTCTTTATAGTTTCAGCCTAACACCGTCAACTACGACAGCAAAGTCCACCACGGTACCGACACTAAGCCTAGGTGCCTCAGTGACTACCTCGGCCAGTAGTGGTACCACTACGCTGACACCGGCCAGTAGCGCCAATACAACAAGCACTGGCAACATAACCTTCGTACAGTTGGAGGAAACCATCAACAAATGGACGCACGAACTTGAGGAGCAAGAGAAGATATTCATGAGTCAGGCTGTACAAATCAACAGCTGGGATAACCTGTTGAACAGCAACAGTGATAAGGTGAAAAAAGAAAAAACAAAACCAAGAATTGATATGGGGAAAAGTTGATTTCAGTTTATCGATTGTTTTGCAATAATGTTGCCGCAATTGCAAGAGATGATGAGAATGATGTTTTCATGAATGTGAGAGATTTTTAAAATTTAGGTGTGATAGCAGGACAAGATGTTTCAAAAATGCTTGGGATTGTGAAGTTGTTTCGATCGGGGGAGACGATGACATTCTCGCGATTGCAGGGGAAATGTCCTTCTTTCTTCCATTAGCTTGGCAATAACCATTATCATGAACAAGCAGTGGGAGTAACCATGATATTTTTTTTGGAAAATCTCAAAAGTTACAATAACTTTTGAATAGTAATTTTTACACATTCACACCACACTGACATCACTTTGAAAACTACTTTTTTGGGTTCAGGAGGACCAAAACAAAATCTCTCACCTAAAACTCGAACTCGAACATTTTGACAAAAACATTAATTTTTCTCCATATAGGCTAGGCTATAGTAGGTATGTATAGCTCCGGGAGAAGGTAAAATTTTGTCCATATATATACTATGCATAGGGGGGAAAGTAAAAAAACCAAAACACGATTAAAAACTAGCTTACTTTAGATTCCAAAAAGGCCATAGTACATACAGAAGACACAGAAACCAATCATTTTCATAATTTTCCATCAAAAACAGTCTGTTACATTTTAGTTTGAAGTAGAATTTAAGATGACAGTTTAACACATGTTCCATGTCTTAGATTAGAGAAGTATCATGCCATTTATATTTCAAATCAGATTGTGTATACTTTTAAAATTGCTTGAAAATAAGACTTAATTCATTTATTATAGGAGGAAGCACAGTGCTAATTATTCATACTTGTTTCAGATAGTGGCTCTGAACAATGAAGTTCACCAGATGAAGCTTCAACAACAACAGTTAGATCACGAGTTGGATTTCATCCTGGCCCAACAACGGGAGTTGGAAGAAGTGCTGTCTCCGCTTGAGAAACAAACATCGGAAGTTCCTTCCAACACGGATCCCGACAGAGAGCACACGTTAGTAGCACTGATTGAGTTTGGATGTATTTTGATTGGTGTATATAAAAATTGGGTAAAAAATTAATGAACCAATTCCATAGGGGTTGTACTCTGGGTCTATAATTTTAAATTTTTATCTGATTCTGATTCCAGACCAATTTAGGTTATATCATTATTCTGGCAAGATTTGAATATTGCAGTAGATGATCAACATGTCCTGATGCCCCTGTGATCACATCCACTTTTGTTCTTGTATAAATCGTTAAACCTTAGCAATTTAACATTTCTATATGACTCCCTCTTATTGATTTAAACAATTTAAAATGTGGATTCTCAACTCCCTTGTAAACTTACATGAGTTCATGTTTACACCCTTCAAATTTTACTACTACCAAAAAAAATATTATTTATTTGTGTGGTTAACACATTGAGTGCTGATGACGGGAATTCCCGCTATTGCTTAGCATTGAAATAAATGCAACTTTCATGTTTAAACATTTCCTCCGCACTAATAATGTTAAGAAACAGGTTGAGGAATACATTACTCAGATATCTATGGGAGATTGTAAGAATAATTTAAACAAACATTTGACTAGCAAAAAACACAAACTAATTTGAGTAGTATATCAATTATATCAATTATTTAAGATGGGGACGCCACTATGTGCGTATTTTAACCCAAATATGAGTGAAGGATGAGTGTAGGATGAGTGGCGCGATCTTGTAGTCTTGTTAGTGACTAAGGCCGACATGTTCCTTAGACACAGCTGTTAATTAATAGCCCATACAGCTAATGGCAACTAAGGGACCTACAGATTATAGTGGAATCCGAACCACATTTTTCCTTGTAATTTACGAATTGGTCTAATTATCAGGATAGTACTGCGGATAGTCGTAGTACTCACTAGTGCGGACGTTAATCCACACCAGTGAGCATCGCATCCACAGTGCATCCCTATAAATATCCACAATTCGTGACCTCCTAGTAGCTGGATTACAGGACGACGCCACCCGTCCCAGTCACCCAGTAGTTAATATCTGGACCATCTAGTAACTTATGTATTATGGTTTGAATGCTGGTTATTTTGTTTCCATCATTTTCAATTTTATTTTATATTTCATATCAACTAATTTTTACCATGGACCAAAAAGATCTAGAGAAGCACTGTTTTGGTTTATGTCACATGCTAAGCTCAGTGATGAATGCAGTGGTAAGATATTATGGGCCATTAGTCTCAAACCAGCAATGTCTAGTTTATTATACCAGTATATTAACTTATTCATTTTACCTTTTAGGTACTACTTGGCTGAATCCCTAGACACTCAGTTGAAGCAAATGTGTGAAGACTTGAGAGAAATCATTGAACATCTGAATGAGTCTAGTAGAACACAAGATACTTCAGATCCGGTAAGAATAATTTTGATACCTCAGTATCTCGTCTTATGAAGCCTAGTGCAATGCAATTCAGTGTCTTCCTAAATCAACTCCCCATGTAGCATCAAGTCTATTTCTTACTTGGCCAAGTTAATAGCTTAGTGTTCTCAAAATGTATTGTGTTCTTATCTTGTGTTATTAAAACTAGCTGTTACCCACGGGCTTCACCCCGTTCGACTTCATGAGTATTAACAAAACTATTGATTGGTGAAGTTAAGCTGAAATAAACAAAACAGAATAATAGTAATACAAACAAATAAGTACAGCTGAGGTCCTTTTACAGAGTTATTATAGCCTATTTGCCCTAATTAACTTGCCAGCAACATACAAGAATTCAATCTTGAGCGAGGGCCTAACCCATCTTAGTACATCACATCAGTAAAGTTTTCTTATAGGGACGGACGAGGTTGGATTTTAAGTCCAAGACAAGATTATAGATGTCTTTACTATTGGGAATTATTTGTTTGCGCTGTTTTGCAATGGTTAATAAATAAATAACAATGAAGCACTATTTAATCAACTAATATACAATAAATAAGTATTTATTACAAAAAGATTGATACAAAAATAGTGTGCAATATAACAAAAGCTTATAAAAACCTAAATAGTAATGACAATCTTAAAAAAAAAAAATAAAAAAAAAACTGTAACATTCACACCACATCTAGGCCTAACTGAATCACAACAAAATCAGTCTTTATTAGAGACGAAAGAAAATTGTAGTAGCTTGAACAGTGTTACTTCTGATCTCAGTGATAATATTATGATAATACAGTAAAACATAGTACATCTGGTATAGTCAGGGCCAGGGTCATGACGGGTAAACGATTTACTGGATAACCGATTTTTGAGATGTACTCAGTTAAAAACGCATTGAGAAAGTGTCTGCAATACCCGCAATACAGGAGGGTGTTGTTGTTTGGTTTCCTTTGTGTAGGCATTCTTAGTATTATTTTTTTATATTTTTATATCTCGTCTCGAAAATTCTTGGAGCAAAGTCAATCTTGCTCGAACCAACAAGATTTTTGAAATCCAGCGAATTTGAGACACATCCATCCCTAATTTCTAAACTTGGTAAACCCGTAGAATGCCACATTATGCCAATAACCCGACCCAAAAACATGAGGAAATAGAAATACGGTGTGAAAAATATAAACAACTTGAGATAGAACTCGTTGTCTTGTGAGGACCGGAAGGACATAAAACATAACCTCAAGTAAACAAGCCTGAGTGTGTGACATCATTTGTCTGCAGCTGAGCTGAACTGAAGTTTTGTGTGAAGATTTCAGCTGCTGGGTGGACAAATGTATTCAAGCATCCAAATTTCAAAACTAGATGTTGTGAATTGTGATTTTCAAGAGAGAAAAAATAGTGGAAAGTGGCTTATTTGAACTTTTATAATTCAAAATCGTCTTTTAACGTTTATATACACAGCTTTCCAGTGTGTTATAGGTTTGCTATATATTTGTAATTTATTATCAACCAACGCCAAACCAACCGAATCCGAACCTCCCAATATCCGATCTGATCAGAGCCTTAACTATCCGACCCAAAATGAAATAATGACAACCTCAATTTTGAGGAATATACCCTTTGACGATTTTAGACATGATGATGTAGCCTACTCCTGAGTACGAAACAGCAGTCACTGTGACTGCACAGGATCGTTTTTGACTGGAGCAAACAAAAATAAACCTTGGACAAACATAGTCCATGATTTTATCATCCCATTAAAATAACGTTAATTATTTTTCAGATTATCCAGGTGGGCCGTATTTTGAACGCACACATGAACTCTCTCCATTGGATTGATCAGATGACGATGAATATTCAAAATCAGCTGGAGAACGTTACAAGGCTTCATGACGCTCATCGCAGAGAGAACGAGCGAACCTTTAGAATATCTTACGAGTAATCTTAAGTATAGCTGTAACAATATCTTTTGACCTTGATCTGTTCGAATAATATGTAGGCTACCTTGTTTTACAGTTTATTTCCACTTTTAGGAATACTTTAACTTTGTACTCTTATTGGAGAACTGTGTAAATTTAATTTATCTTATTGATTTTGTATTATACCGTTTCCTATTATATTTTTTATTAAGTTTTCTGGTCAATATTTATTTGTTATTTTTCCTTTGTTAAAATCATACCCTTCTAATATTGACGTAAACTTGCAACCAATATTCATCCAAAAATTGTATTTCAAGTTGTTTTGTCAAAAACTCAATAAATATACATATTTAATCTAGTAGTAAAAGCTTTCCTCATTTTTAGAAGAATTTTTGGTTACTTGTTTTATCCTAATTTGTTTCTGGAACAAGTGACTGATTTTTTTACATGTTACTGCAATTGTACCAAATTATGGTGTAAGGTAGGTTTTATAGTATATCGCCAGATTAGACAGGTGTAAGAAAACAATGTGTCTCACATAGGTATGATGTTTAATATGATAAATATAAAAGGCCCATAGTGGTTTTTGACAGTTCCTTTACAATCAGCTGGTAACTTTAGCATTTTAATTGATAACTTGTGAAAGATGGTTTCACCCACTAGCTCGCTGGCTGGTTACCACGCAAACATGGTCCTACAAAAAAAACCTTGTGGCATTAATAAAGTGTTTATCGAGATTAAATGAACTGTAAAACATTCACAAACATCCAAACTATGCCCTGGATGGACTTAAACTTTGTGCAGTATTTGTTTCTTCAAGTTTTTACAAAATCATTTAGAAAATCTGTAAATTAGTATTTTTTCCATGTGGTTTTAGCTTCTAAACAATAGTTAAACATTAATTTATCCCCATCCATTGCAAGCTCTGGTATGTTAAGAGCACAAAAAGCACACAATCATTGGAAACAAATTAGTTTTAGAGCTTGTACCGTAGCCGCCATCTTGAATTGACTGGGTAGAACCATAGACAAAAAGAATTAAATATAGACCGTCAGCTGTGCTGCGGTTACCATAGGTTCTGGCGCACACCGCTTGGAGCGCCATGTAGTTACGGCATACGCGCTACGTAAACTACAGCGGTGTGCGCCGGAACCTATGGTAACCATGGTAACCGCAGCACGGCTGACAGTCTATATTCAATTCTTTTTGTCTATGGTAGAACCCTCTTGAATTTGATTATATCTCATTTTGATTTGAAATATTATGCTGGAGAGCTCATGTTGAAAACAGTTAGTTGTTTTGAGTCAGTAATGGTTTGGGGTTTAGCTACAACAGCAGATGGCATGAAATGTTTTCTTAATTTATTAAGACTTTACATTACAAGTTTTGACAAAAGAGCTTTCTTGCTTGGCTTATTTATGACCGGCTTTTGTAAATATACTTCTGATTCTGTCATTACTTAAATTTTGATTAAATCAATGACATTTATTTCATTACGTGAATAGAAAAGAAGAACAAATTTCTAAGAGCATGACAAACAAAAAATAAATAAATAGGAATTGTTTATGAGGTTAAATCTAAAGCTATTTCCATTACATCTAGACTAATAAAGGGGACTAACACACTAAAAGTACGCATAGGTACACTTTTGACTATATGCATTATTAAACAATAGGCATAATAATGCATTAATAACTTAACATTTATCTATGATTAGTTAGCTAGTCATTATTCCATATTTCTTGTTGGAATTAAAATTTAATCTTTTTACTCTGGATTACTGTGTAAACAATTGGTTTGTTCATATAAACAAGTGCAACCGTGTTTGGCACTTTATTTCGATAGGTATGTTTGATTTCAATCAATAAAATAGAGGCTAACCAAATAGGCCTTACGCTTCAATTTTAATAGTATTTTGTAGAAATTGCTTAAAGGAAAAAAATACAGCAGCAGGAACATTGTCGGTGAACAATAGTTACAAGTTTACATGAAAAATATAATTATAAGAATATATTAATAGGCAAGGGAGTCGCAATCAAGATTTGCTAGTTCAATTTGGTAAGGTAAATAATATGTTGCCGTAGAGAAAAGATTTTTTCTTTCAAAAATTAAAAGAAGCGGTTTAAAAAGTATATCTAATTCTTAAGGAACAAAATTTCCTTCCCACTAACTGCAAAGCTTCTTGCAGGACCCATCTCAAATAAAATTTAAAAATGGACAGCCTCTTATGCTAATAGATAATATATTTGTTTTATCTTAAACGTAACAGAAGAAGGTGAAGTTACCAATGAATACAAACCTTATAAGAAGCAATATACTTATGGAGAATAGTCAGAATCGAACTTAGCCACAGAAATGAGCTTCATGCGGCTGCCACTAGTATGTGCACGTGCGGCGACCGCGATACTCTGTCTCTCCCTCTCTAAGCCGATTCTTTGTCTCACTCAGTCAGTTTATTTGGCCGGGTGCTCGTGATAGTAGGGCCTTTGTTACCTAAAGCCCGCACGAAATAAAAATATTCCCAGACAGAATTTTTAACATTGTCATTACGCTTCTTATAAGGTTTGTATTTATTGCAGTTACCGAGTTTCCTGATAAGTAACACCACACAAACAGTTGTAACTCGTACAATCTCTATAAATAACCATTTGGTCCCAGTCTTAAATAAAAATATATTTTACTTTTACAACATTGTCAACAAAAACTTAACATATTTAGAGAAGTCTCATATGAATGATATGGCACTGTGTTGAACGGACAAGAAAAGTACAGGAAAATCTTAAAACACAGATACAATACTGTTATGAGATTGTGTAAGTACATTTACATTATTAAGTTTATCTTAAAGTACGTTTCCATTTCACAGATTTGCACATTGAGATCAACCCACAGAACTGGTGGATTTCAGTAGTATAAATATAAGAGTTAAAAAATTGATCTGCTCTTTAACTAAACAAAATCACATGTAAAAATCTGCTTTGAAATTCACACACGCCACCATCCAATCTCTACATTCAATGAAAACTATTACATAATATAAATTATTACAATAATTGACTAGATTTATATTTCAATGAATAAAGGGTAACAAATAGATCACAAAGAGTTTATAGGATGTTGCAGTGCCATTGGAACGGAAGACCACAACAAAATAGTCGTCGATCCAACGTCTTCGGAGGTAAAAGGTCAAGATCGTCTTCTTCTGGAGTAACTTCGAAGTCTTCAATACTGAAAGTGTCGGTCAGTTCTTGTTTGCCATCTCTCAAGCGTGAAACCGGGAAGAAGTTTATGTCTTCATCGCTGCAAATAGTAATTTGTGTCAAGCTATTTTATAAAAAAAAAAGACAATAGTGTTTGCAATTTAAATTTTTCGTGATTTATCCCTTAGGTGTGTTTTGATGGGATAACTTTTTTATTTATACTTCTTATAAAAACATAATTTTATTTCTCCTAACTTTTGTTACCGGCACTGCTCTGCTTGTTGGATTATCTGAATTGTTCTGTCCTCTGTGTGGTGTGGCACTCAAAAGATTAATGGTTCTACTGTTATAAAATGTGTTTTTCTGAACTCGATAACTTTCTAGTGCACCAAACATGTAATCTTACCTCAACGGATAGTAAGGTTTTGAGATGTTATATGTCGGTAACACATTTTTTAAGTTGGTACTGGTAATGGTTCCTTACTAAATTGATTCCCTGTCCCAGGACAATCAGTAGGCCTATCTGACTGAATACTAAATAAATAAATAGTAATCATTCTTCAAAAGTAAGTTGCAAACATTAACATTTTTAGATTAAATGTTAGTACGGAGGGACAATTTTCCATAGAGACTGTTTTTACTGCCAGGAATTTTTGGCCAATCCCATTTTATAAGCGAATCTAAATCCAAGTAAAACGAAGATCTTTGTGACTAAGATTATACTATCGATCATTGTAGTATATAAAATATTTGTAATGTGGATTAAGCTTAGTTTATTATTTAGAGCTTTTTCTGGACCCACGATTGTGAGTCTTGGCCAATATTAAAGCTATAATGAAAGAATCACTCCTTTACATAGCTGCTAGAAATTTCACTACGTCTATTTTGATTGAACTATGTGCATAGATCTGTTAAAAGTATCGTATCTGTTAATAGAACAAGTAACATGTTTCTTCAACTAATATAAATGATTCCTTAAATGTTTGTGCGCGTACCTATCATCCGTCTCCCAGTCCACTAGTGGATGGTTTTCACGAGGACTTGTCGGAGACTTGCTGGTAGGGATCGGAAGTCGTTGGATGGGTATTAGCTGAGGACTTTTCTTCATCTCATTTTGTGCTTGTAGTTTCTTTGCCTGTTCAATTCTTCTTTCTGAAAAATAGACAGTAGAAAAAAAGTTAACAAAATAATACTCCATACATACAAAATCAAATATATGTGTTGTCTTATGTCCTTCATTTAATACCAAACGGTCAATTCAGTTAGCAGAGAGGCTTCATGAAATTGTTCTATAACAATTGTATGCTGTAAAGGTTTCTGTCTCATTCCTGATCTTATATATTTCCTTAGGGTTCTTTCATGTTATCAAATAAGAATACGGTAAATATTAATTATGTAATTGTGAAGAATATAATGTAGTACAGTACCGGTACCATATCAGGCCCACTTTTATAAATGGGCAGACTGGGCATATGCCAAGGGGCGCCGAAGGTTTGGGGCTACCCACAGGGACCACCGCCTGCCCGCACTAGGAAAAAATGGGGGCACTGCTTTTGGATTTGCCCAGGACCCTTAACGCGGCTTGTACCATATTTCAATTGAGTATATTGTTTGAATAAGTTCCATTATGATAGTTATTATTCCATTGCATAATAAAACTACCCAGTCAAGACCCTTTTGTCAGGTTAACAAAAAAATTTTATAAAGTTAAATTGTGTAAAAAACAATTTTCCGATATATTTACTGTTGTCCGTTAACTTTAAAAAATAATCATAATTATAGTTTGGTGGATTGCCTAACTAGCTCCCAATTAATTCGAAACATGCCTAAGATTACAATTAGCTTCAAAGAGCTGGAGCAAGCTACTCATTTGTAGACCAAAGTAATTTCTGGCACACTTAAAGCCTTTGCAAACGTTACACAAATTCTATGTACATTACTTAATCCAACATTACCTAGTTTCTTATGCAGTTGTTTCCGGGACATCTTCTTTGGAGTAGGATGGTTTAGGTTGGTACTACTGTTGGAACTGTCACTAGCCTAAAACACAAGAAATAAAATAATAAAATGATGACGGTTCAGTAAGGTAGACCCCCTTAACTGACCCTGGATCAACCTCTGCTTGGATTTACACCCTTTGTCAGGTAACCTAGTAATAAAAGTTGTTTTATCTATCCCAGGAATCAAGATATTATCGTTCCAATCCTTATGCAGTTAAATGAAAATACAAAAGTGTGCAGGTCTAGTTCAATGGCGGATCCAGACCATGATTCGGGGATGGGGACAAGTTGGGTTGTAAGGGTAAACTTCCCAGGGGGGGGGTCTAGGGGGTTGGAAGCAAGGGTCTGGGAAATTTTGGAAAATTTGTGTTTTGAAACTATTTAGAAACAAAAACATGATAATTTTTGGCAATTTAAAACTATAGGATTTTAACTAGATTTATTTATTTAAGTCTATCTTTATTATTTATCAAAGTATTCAAAGTCTCTAAGGGGGGGGGGGCAATTGCCCCCTTAACCCCCCCCTTGGATCCGCCCCTGGTCTAGTTTAGTCAAAAACCAGACTTAGAGTAAATTTTAGAGTAAGATTGTGGTATTTCAAAACCTTCTAAATCAAAATCAGGGCCGCGTTAAGGGTCAGTGGAGCCCTGGGCAAACCCAAAAGCAGTGCCCATCTTTTTTCCTAGTGGGGGCAGGCGGTGGTTGTGGGGCACCCGGTGGGCGCCCCTGGGCATGTGCCCAGTCTGCCCGTTTATAAAAGTGGGCCTGTACTAAATCTATTTTATATGCAGATTGCAGATGATACAAATTCCTTATAAAAGAGCAGAGCAATAGTTGAATTATAACAACTAGAACTCCAAACTGCAATGAGGGTTGTCTTAGCATGGTTTCAGTCAAATAGTCTTCACTTCTGAGCAAACAATATCACCAGGATGGACACGGTGGAGCTCTGTTGTATAGCTGGTGTTGTCCAACTCCATCTATATTCGAACTGCTGAGAAAGAAACGTAAGAAGAGGCGATGATGTAAGCATTTGATGTTATCAAACAGACACACCAGTGAGACATTCCATGTCATGTGACCATCGGAGGTACTCTGAAAATTCGTTCCAGTTTTGGTGACTCCCAATCTTAGTCCTACCTACATCGTTTGCCAATATCATTTCAATTTTTTGCCCTTATATCAAGATTAGAATAATCCTTTGTCTTGACATCGTACAGTGCAGGCCGAGCCTCTTTCTCACAAATAAACTTCTCTGTGTCGAACATTACACTGCACCGTATTGAAAACAAACCTAACTGGACAACAGGTATGAAGTAAGCTGCTGCGCGGTGACACCACTTCGTGTAGAATGACTGGGCAGAGTTCTCGATGAGGGTTTGACGGGGACGTACAATCCGCCTTGTGTCACGTTGATAATTCCACTTGTGTAGACATGTCAATTTAAAGCAATGGTCCCTGTCAAGTGAGTGGCCCCGACTTGGGAATCCCGCCGTGGGTTTCACACTCGTGTAGAATGGTTTCTAGAGGCTATAGTAAGTAATTGAAACAGCCATGACTCTTAATTCTACTTGAAGCAGTTTTCACTTATTCAGAAACAAAGCTTCCACAATATTTATTTTATAGGTAATTGCAATGATACAATTGTACAATGATACAATAAAGACTTACATGGAAGAGTCTGTCGTCTTCTTGACTTTGACGATGTTTGGGGTCACTATCAAACCCGCTGTCGTCCATTATGTCAGTTCTTTCAATCCACGGATTGCACGTTGTCATGAGTAACTGACATTAACTGACCTGCAATAAAATTATGCCTTATTGATAAATCCTTATTCAATCTAAAGTGATCCAGTCAACAAAGTATTAAACTGGTCAATTAGGTAATAAGTTTTATCACTAAACGCTACCTCATTTTAATGAAATTTTTATCAAGTATTTCAGATTTCAAACGGATGACAAACCAGTTTTCATCATTACCTAAAAATATTTTCTACCGGGTTCATATTATTATTTTATTTTAGTAAATCCAACATAGTCCTATTTGTCTTGGCTACGTTGAAAGCCTGAAGTGTTTAATAGCTATAATCAACCCTCCTTTAAAAAAACCATTTATGCGTGGTTTTTTTAATTGGCCTATTATTGTAAAAATTAGTAGGCCTATAGGCTGTGTCACACGTAGCAACTTTGCTTGTTGCAGTCACACTAGGGGACTAAGTTAGTAGTTTAGCGTTGACTGTAAAAAAATAAAGTGTTTCTAGTACTTTAAAGCATTGCCATTTCATCAATGGGGATTTAAGCCGACAGGCTTTACGACGTGTCTTGTTACGGTATTGTTGTTAGGTGTGATGTAAGAGAACTTGTATATAATACTGAGGATTTGCTTCGTAACACAACCCAAGGAATAATAACAAACGGAAGTGGGTACGGGATTGGATAGGAAGGAGACAAAGATTGGTGCCTATGCAACGCTTATGGAAGAACTAAGCTTAGCGAGTGAGGACCCTTAATCGTACTAAAATATTCAAATTGTACCCAAATTGAATGAGTTGCTCCTTACTCGGCTACAAGTGACATAAATGTGTTTTTCAAAGGTTGACTTAAACAAAGCCTAAACCTAGTAATTAGAAAATGTCAAAGCTAAGTTACAACTCTCATAGGTCCATATGTTTAGTGTATAAAATGTTGATAAAGAGTTACATAGATCGCTTGGAATTTCTTAAGTTCATAAAAAACTATTCTTAAAAACATAGTAAGACAAAATATTGTAAAATACCGTTTACCTCATAACACATTGCGTTGTGCAGAAGACATTTGTTTTGACAGTAATGACAGCTTTGAGCTTAGCAGACGACAGGATAAATTTCCGTGTGTGCGGTGGGATTGTGACATGGAGAACAAAATATCTTTTTGAGGAAGACTACCCGAAGTCATTGACTAGCCAGCCTTTCAAGCTAAGCCTAATTTACAGCCCAACTTAAAAAAATGTGTCACGATATTATACTGTTATACTTATATCTAATTTCTTTATAAAACTAGTTTTATAGTTGTTTTAATTTCATATCTTGAATCATATAGACACTACACAGCCAAATACTATTTTTCCGAAAGACAAAACGTTAATACTCTGTGAGTTTCTTGATTATTGATTTTGATTGTCAATTTTGCGGTGTGTGAAATTGAAAAGTGAAGTGAAGGTTACGGTACATCATTTTAGGTTAGAACCTATTATGATCTCATAGTTTTACAAAGTATTATGATTTATGTCCAGTTAGTGTACATTATTAATTAGAACTGTTAAGTTCACTAATATTACACGTGGACCTTAAAATAAGGTAAGTTATTTTGTGTGTTTTTTTTTCATTTAAGGGATAGGCCTAAGTTAACTCATAACCTAGGACTAGGCATAACTTTAGGCTATCTTGATTACAGCAGACACCTTGGTAAAAATACAGATTTTTTGTAAATTTAGATTTTGGCTGCACTTTACTTGACGTCCTACACTCATTTGAATGAAAATATCGATCGATATATTGATTAATCGATTGCTTTATTCGATATATCGTTTGGTTAGTTGGGTAAGGTTAACCTTACCTAACTAACCAAACAATATATCGAATGAAAATATCGAATCGAAAAAAACAATCGAATGAGTGTAGGACGTCAAGTAAAGTGCAGACTAGATTTTTTGTTCCTTATACACTTGGCTTAAATAGGCTAGGCATATATGAAAAGAATGTTGGCTTTAACGTTTTGCTTAGTCCACTACAAAAAAACTCGTAGGAAATTAAAAAACTCAACCAATATTTTCTTCATACTGATTTGAATGGACATGACATGATTAACTTAGCACAATTTAACTGTACAGTAATGATATGTTTTGTAAGGTAAGACCTCCTTAAACATGTCAGATTTAACTTATTCCCTATTTAAATAACTTCATTAGTTTAACATAGGTATATACCTAGGCCGAATCTGTGAACAAGCAAACTACAACAGTTTACTTATTCTCCAAACATGGTAATTTTAAATTTAATCAGTTTTTTTTATTTTTGTATTAGGCTAACCAATAACCACTAAGCGAAGCGCATAACAACGCTTAATGTACCTATACTAAATTATTATTTTTTTTAAACACTACAAAATAGTTTAGAATGAAATTGCAAAACTTCAGGCCTAAGTTACCTATGATTTTAGGGAAAAAAAACATTTTTACCCCTTAAAACCCCCTATAAACCTTCGTTCCCATAGTCCAATCATGCTCGCATGTTCGCAAACTCGTTGGAAAAAACGTAGCTTATATTTTACACGTTTACCAAAATTAATCAATATCGGATCATTTTGCTCTAGTTTTCAAGCTAACGGACACTTAATATGAATTTGAACAGGGTATTTTTGGCCTCTTGGGATCTGAAAGATTCCAAAAAGAAAAGAAAAAGTAAATCGTTCCCGGGTCCAGGTCTTACCATGAGACCTATGGTAATATGGTAGCTTATTCCTTGTATTTATGGGAAATTTGCTAATACTCCTCATATTCCCTATACAGGATTAGTAAAAATTCTGGAGACCCCCTGTCAATTGTTTAACCACCCATCCTAGAAAAACTAAACTCTGAACCTTTATGACATGTTATGAAATACTTTTTGGGCATAACCGCTACTTCATGTACATCCACAAAATGGGGGACTTCGAGGGAAACTCAAAGGATTCAAATAGTAAAACCCATCGAGTGACCCCTAATTTTGAAGGTCCTAATAAAAGAAACCCAACAGCGCAAACTAAGAGTCACGATCTCAACCCAGTAAAAAATTACAGCACATTACAGTCAATTGAATTTCTCAGAAGTGAAATTCAACTTCAACAGCTTTTCAAGTCTAGAGAACCCCTGAAAACTTTGTAACGGGTCACACTTGAAAAACTAAACTCTGTACAACTTTGTGGCATGTTATGATGTACGTTTTGAGCCTAATTGCTACTTAGTTCGCAAACCCATAATGCAAACTCAAAATTTTTAAATGTTAAGCCCCATTGAGTGACCCCTCATTTTGAAGAAATTTGCTAATACTCCTCATATTCCCTATACAGGATTAGTAAAAATTCTGGAGACCCCCTGTCAATTGTTTAACCACCCATCCTAGAAAAACTAAACTCTGAACCTTTATGACATGTTATGAAGTACTTTTTGGGCATAACCGCTACTTCATGTACATCCACAAAATGGGGGACTTCGAGGGAAACTCAAAGGATTCAAATAGTAAAACCCATCGAGTGACCCCTCATTTTGAAGGTCCTAATAAAAGAAACCCAACAGCGCAAACTAAGAGTCACGATCTCAACCCAGTAAAAAATTAAATTGAATTTCTCAGAAGTGAAATTCAACTTCAACAGCTTTTCAAGTCTAGAGAACCCCTGAAAACTTTGTAACGGGTCACACTTGAAAAACTAAACTCTGTACAACTTTGTGGCATGTTATGATGTACGTTTTGAGCCTAATTGCTACTTAGTTCGCAAACCCATAATGCAAACTCAAAATTTTTAAATGTTAAGCCCCATTGAGTGACCCATTTTCATTTTGAAGGTCGTGATAAAAGAAAACTAACAATGCAAGCCAGAGGTCTCTATCTTAACACAGTACAATATGGCAGTTAATTGAAATCCTTAGAAGTCTAAATTCTAATTTCTAAAGACTAAAATGATGGGCCACTCAATGGGTCTTACCTTTTGAAATTTTTGAGATTCCCCCGAAATCCCCTATTTTGGGGATGTACACAAAGTGGTGGTTATGCCCAAAAAGTACTTCATAACATGCTATAAAGGTGCGCAGAGTTTAGTTTTTCTAGTATGGGCTGTAAAAAAATTGACAGAGGGTCTCCAGACTTTTTATTACAAAACACATAATAGAGTGCATACTTATTTCCTTCTGTCTGTAACAAAACAGAGGCCGTTCCCTTATGAACATTAAAAAATTACAAAGGCGAAGGAAAAAAAACAAATAAATTGAATATAAATTTCTAAGCCCATGGCCTGGTGGTTCAGGTCCCACCTGGGAAAATTATCTCTTATCACCAATGTATATTTTTAACCTGATCATGAGTGAAGGATGGTTGTAGAATTAAATGTTCACCATACCTCACAGGTAACATGGCCCCAAAGGCAATAAAAACAGTCTCTGGCATAGCTATAAAAATAGAACCATTGGCGAGCCCTAACCTCAGTCAACCGGGAGAGTTAGTTTGCATACGTGACTGTCTCAATATCCAACAATTGGGCTGCCCTTGGCCATGGTGTGATTGTGACAATGGGTCGCCAGGGCTGTCAATCTGTCAATCGAAACACCGGCGCGGCGAGGACACCTGGGCTGCATCGTGACATAACCCTCTATCTCCTTCCTTCCGTGACATGACGTTCAGCACAACGCATACTACTGTACCACGTCGTGCATTAATTGCGCCGAAGAGATCCTTAATTGATCCAAGCAAAGGGTCCCAGAAATGTTCCGTAGTTGCGCTCAGGTAGGGGTGAGTTGCCGGCAGAAGGAATGTCCTTGTTTACGTGTTGTCTTAACCTAATTGTACAGTCAAAGAAAAAGGGCCGCCGCCGCGCCACTTGGCGATTTGAACGTATCGGGTTTCGGGTCGCTCCCTGGAGTAGCTGGAGCAATTGATGCTCATAACTCGTCAGTCCTAACACAGTGCACTGTCTAGACCATCGATGTATAATAACTCCCCAGACCTAATGCGTCGTGACCCGAAACGAAGATATGACCGATTAACTTACCTAACCAAACATCATAACAATTTAGACAATTTAACTATCTAAACCACAATAACTAACCAATTAAAGCAACGAATCAACTAACCCACTACCAAACACTCAACCAACTACTACAAAAACACAACCAATCCCGATAAACCCTCAATGACCACACATCCTAACCTACAACCAACAACTAATTGCAATCTTCATTAAACTATTCTTAACCCTCGTTAGAAACTACGACATGCCATTCGTTATCCAAGTCTCAAGTCTGATCCACACAATCAGCCTGTCAAAGCTCATTCCTTTATTTTACTTCGAGATAATTTTCCGATTATTCACATTTTATTATAAAGACTATCAGTTTCAATTCGAGACGTCTTCGTGTACACAGCTTAATTGAAATACTTCATCAAACGTCAAGATTTTATGCGTAATTTATTTTTCCCGTGGTAGCGGGGTGAAGTGTTGACTTGACTTCACTTGACACTCGAATATGGTACGGTGCAATTAATTATTAGACCCATAATTTAACATCTAAAGTGAAAGCTAAATTTGGACTCCAAATTATTGATTAGTACAGTCCCCATAATGTACGGTAACACTATTTTGTTGAAAGGTGGGGGGTTTAAGCTGAAAATTTGTAGTTTTTATGAAATATTTCGAAAACTTTTTGAATGCAAAATACGTTAATAAATTACGATAGTTTTTAAAACAAGAATGATCCTCAATATTTTTAAAACGTGTACGGTTGAAGGGTTACAAAATGTTAAAAATGGATATGACTTAAATTACCATCGAAATAGGTTTTTTGTGTTCAGGATAGTGTTTTTGTATTTTGTAAAGGCGAATTTGTTGTTTTATTGGTCTGTGATTAATGAAGCCCTTGAGGGAACCTGGGACCGACAACCTCGCTGGACCGGCACCCCCTTCAAAAAGGGCTCCAATGTAATTTTTAATGGAAAAAGTTTCCAAATGCCCATTTAAGTCTTATTCCCTAAAGAATGATAGCATCGAATGCATTGCACCGCTGTAACTCAGCATTATTGCATAGTGATGATAACGATCTGCGATGATCTAGATCTCGGTACAGTTAGTGTCCTGATGTAGGCCTAGTTGCTGCAGACCAGTGACCAGTTGACCGACCAGTACAGGTACTGGGTACTGGTACTGGTAGATCAGCAGACAGTACAGCAGTACCGGGTCACGGTCAGCGAGTTGACGTTGCCTCACGAGCAATTTGCAAAATCCGAGACCCAAATGCGCACCTCACGTGACCACTGGATCATAATTTTCAGGGACCTTCACAGTTCAACATTCACCGGATAGGGTTCTTTGATGTTATAGAATTATGTGGCTAAATATTTGACCTAGGTTGCCGAGTAATTTTCTTACTTGAAATTACCCGACAGGGATAGACAATAAGGACTTGACGAATAGTTAAACCCTCAACTCTTCCTTTGAGAAAACTTGTGGGTTTCTAGGGGTAGGCCTATGAAGATTGTCGCAAGTTCACGCGGCGGCACGTCTACCCGGCACCAAATGTGACCACCGCTATACGGTTAATCGGGCGTTACTA